AAAATTATCCACCAGCTCCAGTCTCTGACAGGTGGGCTAGAATAAGAATCCCTGCAGCTGTCACAATTTCCTCTGAAAACCATTGTTAAAATTGCTGGTGCTGCTATCTGTTACTGCAGAGACATGGCCAAAATGTGCGTGAGAACAGGCAGCTTTATTTAGAAGTCGTACCTCAGTGTGATAATATCATGAACTGGAAGAATGTTCCATTGACTTAAATGTATCCCATGTGTGCATGCTTGGGGGCGGGAACTGTAAAAACGTACGGTGTCTTGTGCATTGGTTGATATATCTTCTTGGATTCACATCTGTGTATGCAAAACAACATGTCCCCATTTTCTTCCATTGCATAAATTAGAACCAATTAATCAAAGAATCCTATGTGGTATTATATTTTCCCACAAACCAGTTAGCAACATTTTAAAAAAAATATTTTAATACATTTGAGTTGAGAGAGGCTGAATCAGCCATTCTTCTGATTTTAAAATGTGACCTGGGCTTCTCCTCCTAATTCCAGCTGAGTTTACTAAACAATGATCCCTTTGTTGTTGGGAGGCATTGACATTCATAGCCTTTAGCTTAATAGTCTGTACCCTTCTCAGACCCAGGGCCCACCTTTAACCCCGATCTACAAGACCTACTTTTAATGTTTGAATGTCTGTGTCTTCTTTTTCCTTCCCTCTCAGGGCATATCTGCAGAAGCATTGGCTAACAGTCATTCCGTTTCCCTAAGGATTCTGAAAATTGTATTGGTGGGCTGGGGTAACAGAGAATTCTTAGCATTTGCACCATTTCTCAGAATACTTGGGGGAGCCAGTTATTAACTTTCTTTTGCCATTATTGTTACTCAGTTAGACAGCCTTGTGAGATCCTTGAGATTTTGCAGCTTGCCTTGATTTTTCTTACAAGTGATAACCATAGGATTGCCAGACCCCCGGTAGGGGTGGGGTCTCCCACTGCCAGTCCCTGCCCCTCAGCTGCTGATCAGCTGGCCAGTGTGGGGGACTTACCATTAGAAAGAGGAAGGCCTGGGCCACAGGAAGTGATGTCATCATGCCAGTGACTTCCAGGCAACGCTGGCATTTGGGCAAAAACTCTACGGTAGAAGCCAGTTTTACCACAGAGTTTTTGCCCAAATTCCAGAGCGTCATCTAGAAGTCGCTGGTATGATGACATCACTTCCTGTGTGATGCTGGCACTGTAGCCTGGGCCTTTCCCTTTCTCCTGGTAAGTCCTGCCCAGATCCCTCATCGGCTGCCAGGAGGGACCTGGCAACCCTAGATAACCAATATGCTAGCAGGGAAAGCAAATCTTTGAATTCCTCCTATGACGGTAGTGGTAATTCAGCATTTCTGTTCTGCAGGCTGGATCCAAAGAGTTGTTGAGGTACAAGCCCTGACCAAGTGAAATATTTTCCCTTTTTTGTTTTGTTTAAATAGTTGGCTTCTGGGCCGTATCTTGCTAACTTCCAGGCAAGGTCTGGCAATGTCCTCCTGGTATTACAGTTATCTCCAGATGACAGAGATCGGTACCCCTGGGTCCATATCACAAAACTGCTTTTGAAACTCACCCCTGTTTCAAAAGCAGTTTTCCTTAAAACACAGGGAGCTGCTGTCTGGAAACCCTGCCTCCCTAGATCTAAATCTCTCTTGTGTTCATGAAATTAGTTTATCAGTTTCTTTGGCTGTATGGATTTCACTCAGATGGGAATATCCATCCTAATAATCAAGCATCTATACAGATTATTTTGTTCATTTCCCCCCCTGAATACTAACTACGTTTCACTTTATATTTCTGTTTTTAAACCAGTTCCAGTTGCAAATGTTCGATATCGTTTGTACCACTTCGTGGGCTAATCGAGATAAATGCTGTGAACTTCCGGGATTGGTAAGGCTCCATTTTAAAGCTCTTCTTTAACAGTATGTAATTAATAGTTGTAAATATATTTTGGAATCGTCACCCAAATGTTCATATGTAGTAGGCACCGTTAACACGCAGGGATTCCCGCTCAATGGAGATAAATTCCCTGTGAAAATGTATATATTGGGCATGTGGAATGGTATAGTATATAGCCCAGTCTTATCATATCTTGGAAGCTAAGCCAGGTCAGTACTTGGATGGGGGACCACCAAGGAAGTCTCTGTAGAGGAAGGCAGTGGCAAGACCCCCTCTACTTCTCACTTGCCTTGAAAGCCCCTTGCTAGGGTCACCATAAGTCTCTGCAACTTGACAGCACATGCATACAGCACAATGTGCATATCTGTTCCTCTGTCATTTGTTCATAGCACTTGCCTGTTCATAAAAAAGAATGGGGGAGCTCCATAAAGAGTGGAGCACCAGATGCACTTTAGAGCTTCTGCTTCTGCATGGGGATCTTGTGGTCACGACCAGAATGGCTTTGCTTCTCGATTCTTAATTCTGTCATTGAACTTTATGATGTGTCAGGAATTATATTTCTTTCTTCCTCCCCCCCTTTTGTCTCTAGAGAGATGAAGAAAGTTGCTCCGCCCTTCCTCATGCTTGTTCCTGTTCTGAAGTCAGCAAAGGTCCTCAAGGTCCACCTGGGCCGCCGGTAAGGTTTCCTTCATGTTTGACTTCCCCATGTCACTGTTTCTGGTTCTCCTGGGCTGGGAACAGGGCTTTATTGTATTATGTAAACCACTGATCCCTAGTGCGGCACCTGTTCCTGCCATGTTTTCTGTCACTGTGTTTCCTGGGGCCCTCTTCCTCCTCCTCTTCCTTAAAGCAAAGAGCCAGTCCTGTCCTTCCTCTACCTCGCTGGAACAGGAATTGCTTCAGAAAACTGTAGGTGGCATCATCTTTGTGTCTGTAGAGAGGACCCATCCAGAAAGAGCTGCACGTGTCACAGGGGGATGCTTGGCTTGCAGCCTCCCAACAATTTGTGATTGACCCCAGTCTTCGCGGCAGCCATTTTGTGCTTGACCATGCCCCTCCCTGGCAGCCAATTTATGGTGGTGAGCTCTTACTTGTTCTCAGGATCCCTAAGTGTCCACAGGCTCAACTATGCTGAAGGACCCTGATGCAAGCTACCAAATTACACAGTTTTTTCAGGAGCCGAGACATTAAAATGAACTCCATTTAACTAAAGAGGATCTATTGCTTTGACACAAAGTTTTGTTTGAGGAGTTTTGTAGGTCCTGGATCCTTACTTTCCAATCACATCCTAAAGAAAATAATTAAAGTACATTAGGTCGCATATTGTACTGCATTTGTATGAGTCACCACTTTAGTTTTCCTGGTGCTGCGGTGATAGTTCACCAAACATACATAGAACTCAGTTCCTTTGTTCTGTTAATCATAGAGCAATCGTGGTGAAGAGAATAGGGCAGGGGTCCCCAATGTGGTGCCTGTAGATGTCATAGTGCCCGCCAGCACCTTTCCTGGTGCCCACCAAGTGTTTTTAAAAAGTGGGTGTGGCAAGGTGGGTCTTTTGCCGAGCAAGGCTTCTGATTGGCCAATGGAGAATTGATTGGCTATGCAGATTTTTAAGAACGTTGCGTTGGCAGCAGCTGCCACCACAGCACAAGAATCTTCACCGAACAACCAAAGGTAAGCTGTGGCAGCCATTTTGTGGCTGGCTTAGCTTCCTGCAGCTGCAATTTTGTGTCAGCCATTTTGTGGCTGGGCCCACCATGCTATGTCAGAATTCCCAAAGTGCCCACAGGCTCAAAAGGTTTGGGGACCCCGGTGTAGAACTGGGTTCCATCCTTCTCTCAGCCATGAGGGTTGGGCTGTTTTGAAGATAAAATAGTACTGTCACCCAAGTTTGAATTCTTGGAGGGAGGGACAGAATTCAAACTGGATAATAATACTCTATAGAGTTTGAAGATTTGATGTTTGTTAGTTGGATTTGCAACCCAATGGATCCAATATCCATTATTAAAGGGTAGTAATCCTATTTGTCACTTGATACTAAATTGCAGTTGTTGAGGATAGAGTCAAATGCCCAGACTACTTGACTGCCATACTTTGCTGTAGCTTGAAACCCAGAAGGGAGAAGAACTGTTAAGAATGAGGTGAAAGAGACATACTTAGCTAGCATCATTCTCCTAAAAGTTATGAAAAGGTGCAGTGATGTGCAGGACGAAGTGAATGGCTTTGTGGTATAGTGTTTGGAGTGTTGTACTAGGATGTGGCCCGGGTTCAGGTCTGAGAAAATAAAATAGAGGAGGAGCTCTGTCTGTTATTAGTCACAACAGAACCTTCTTGAGCTTTACTATCATCTTCACCTAATTAGATGAGATTTAAAAGTTTATAATTATGTAGGATTACAATTACGTTTGCCAACATGTCTTGGATCCTAGTTAGTGTTTTTGTAGGCAGGAGGAATTTCACTTTTTCCTGCCTCCCTTTCCTGATTTCAGGGGACATATTGGGCTCCCACAGAAGGGGGGATGTGGGAAAATCATGCTCTCCTTATGTGGGAAAATCATGCTCTCCTTGTGCCCATCGAAACCCTGGTTGGGATCCAACCTAGCATTTGGAGTCAAGGATTAAATCTGCCCTCATTGAAATAGTGTTAGGAATAGGGTTGCCAAGTCGTTGCAGTCGCCGCAGCGGGGGACTCCCAGGTGGCGACTGGAGCATGCACGCAAAGCGCGCACGCACCGCATGCACGGAAGTAACGTTAGGACGCCATAGAGTTTTCCCTCCGAAGGTTGTGGCCCCGCCCCCAGCGTACTCGGCATCCTAACGTCACTTCCTGGTGACGCGCACGTCGGGGCGGGGTTCCCCCTGGGGCTCGATCCGCCGCCGGTGGGGAACGGGCCTCCGGGGGGACTTGGCAGCCCTAGTTAGGAACACAAGATGAACCTTGCTGGATCACACTAATGGTCCATCTCCAGTATCCCGTTTCCTGCAGAGGATGACCAGATGCCAGAGTCTGGCATTCTAACCACTACAACACACTCTTCTGACCTTACCTGATGAGGTCTTGAATCAACAAGGCTTTTCTAAATCTAGGGTTGTCAGGTCTTACCTGGCTGCTGGCGGGGGGCTCCAGTCCTCTGCCGAGAGTCACCATAGAGTTTTTACCCAAATGCTAGAGCATCCCCCGTGCGACATGCCCAGCATGATGACATCACCTCCGGGTGACGTCATTGTGCTAGACACGTCGGGTGTGCCAGAGCTCTTCGGGGCTGCAGCAGATTGGGGTCCCCTGCTCCCATCGGAGGGATGGCAACCCTATCTAAATCAGATGATGGGTATAAATGCTTGGGGTTTTATTTTAGAAACGATGAAAAGGGAGGACTTTGTGGATAGCAGGACCTACTTTTCATGCAGTGCGAATTGTGTTTTGCAGGGTGGACCAGGCCTCAGAGGTCCAAAGGGTAACCGTGGTGAATATGGTCCAAAGGTAACTATTATACTCTACTTGCTAGTGGTGCAATCCAAGGTCCCTGGAACTTTTTACTTGCTTTCAATTGTATCTGGTTTGCACCTGTCTCAGTACTGGGATCAGCATATCATAAAGCAGTACAGCTGCTGAGGCCCAGGGTCGCCAGTGAAATCCACTGTCATTAGCCCCCTCCCATCTCCATCCTCCCCTCCTACCTCCCCAGCCTTCTCCAACCTCCTGCCATCCATGCTTCCAACTGTATGCACTGCCCAGCCCCACCGGGAGAAGGGTGTGTGAGTGACACACAGCCGCAGTGCTTCTGGTGGCTGTACCCCCAGTGCTGCTGGGGAAGGGTGTCTGTGTGGCTGAGAACATGGACAGTGGGGGGTGGTAGGGGGAGGGCACGTAGGCTGCTGTTGAGAGAGGGGCATGCATACGGGCAGAAAGGGGATATGAACTGGGGCAGGGGGGGGGCCCAGGCACCCTTTGCCCAGAAACCTGGAATCAGCCTTGGGTTATCTATCCAGTTGTATATAGTGGATATTTGAAGCTATTTCTAGAATCTTTTAATAGTACTTACACGAGAGAGAGAAGGGGTAGCTAAAAATATAAGGACTTCTATGGAAGAATCGCTATGCACGGATCCCTAGGACTGAAATATGTTTCATATGAACGGCTTTACACCAGATCAGACCATTGATGCATCTGGCTGACTATCATCTAGGATGACTGGCATCAGCTCTCCAAGGTCTCCAGCAGAGAAATCTCTTTCCCAGCATCTGCTACCTGAGATCCTTTAACTGGAGATGCTAGGGACTGAGCTTCGGACATTCTGTGTGCAAAGCATATCCTCTGCCACTGGCACCATTCTCCATCTGTGAGCAAATCCACGTGTTCAAACAGTCATCTTTGATCCTTATGTGCTTGAACTGTGGTGGTCGCTCGGTTGCAGTAATGCACAGTTTGACAAGACTTGTTGTGTTGTTTGGATCTGTAGATTCTGTGCATTTATTTGGTGCAAATTGCTGCTTTGTTTGTTTGGAGGAATTTCAGTTTATGACTACTAGACTGTCATTCTAGGGGCCGGATGGACCACGTGGTGAAATTGGAGCTCCTGGCCCTCAAGGACCTCCTGGGCCACAGGGGCCAAGTGGACTTTCTATTCAAGGACTTCCGGTAGGTACTAAACCAATGGCAGCCAAGGCCTTCTCCACACCACAGCAGTTAAAGCATTGTTGTTGTTGTTTTTAAATAAAACAACGAACCCACACAAAGCTGCCTTGTACTGAATCAGACCATCAATCCATCAAGGTCAGTACTGTTAACTTAGACTGGAAGTGGCTCTCAGGCAGAGGTCTTTCCAGGGCTCTTTTTGTAGATAAAGCCCAGCAGGAACTCATTAGCATAATAGGCCACACCCAACAGCAGAAACTCATTAGCATATTAGGCCACACCCATGACAGCACAGCTCATTGGCATATTAGGCCACACCCCCATGTTACCAGAAGTGTGCTCATCCAGCCACACCCACCTTTTGCTTCTTATTCTGCTTACCTTGTTTGTTGTCAAAACCCAGGGCTTTTTTTGTAGCAGGAACTCCTTTGCATGTTAGGCCACACACCCCTAATGTAGCCAATCCTAATGAGTGTCTGCTGTTGGGTGTGGCCTATTATGCTAATGAGTTCCTGCTAGGCGTGGTCAACTTGGAAGCCAGCCGGAACTCCGTTCCTGTGCGTTCCTGCCCCAAAATAGCCCTGGGTCTTTCACATCACATCACCAACTGCCTGGTCCTTTGGGGAGGCCAGGGATTGAACCTGGGACCTTCTACATGCCATGCAGATGCTCTACCACTGAGCCACAGACCCTCTCCAAAGTTGTAGAAAGCAGGTTAGAATAATAGAATCATAGTTGGAAAGGAACTTCCATGTCATCTAGTCCAACCCCCTGCACAATGCAGGAAATTCACAAATACCTCCCCCCACGCCCACAGTGACCCTTGTTCCAGACCCAAAAGGTTGTATATCCCATTTAGAATGAAAGGAGAGGGAAAAGGGGGCTGAGCTCTGGATCCAGATGAGGACCTGTCAGGAAGGATCTCCCTCATCTTTAGAGAGTCTTCTTCAGGAGAGGAAAGCTGATTGGGATGGAGACTCCAATCTTGCTGGAAACTATTATGATGCTGGGGCTGTACTGGACCAAGCATTAGTGTCACACAAAAGGGAAATTCTGTTGTTGTTGTTTTTCGGGCGTATGAAAAAAACCTTCAAGATTGCTGAACTGGAGTATCCTTACCTGTTCAATGGCTTCGCATAAAGTGCTAAACAAATTGGGCCCCATTATGATGCTGGGGCTGTACTGGACCAAGTGTTCATGTCACACAAAAGGGAAATTCTGTTGTTGCTTTTCGATCGTATGAAAAAAAAAGCTTCAAGATTGCTGAACTGGAATATCCTTACCTGTTCAATGGCTTCACAAAAAGGGCTAAACAAACTGGGCCCAATATTTGCACTTTTGAAAGGTTCTGAATGTTTTTAAAAATGTGTGTATCCTATATACATTTGATTTACATTTGAGGAAGGGAAAGGAGTTTGGAAGCCGCTCTGAGACTCCAAGTGAAGGGCGGGGTATAAATCCAATCTCTTCTCTTCTTCTTCTTCTTCTCTGCCACTGGCACCGTTCTCCATCTGTGAGCAAATCCACGAGTTCAAACAGTCATCTTTGATCCTTATGTGCTTGAACCGTGGTCGCTCAGTTGCAATAATGCACAGCTTGACAAGCCTTGTTGTGCTGTTTGGATCTGTAGATCCTGTGCATTTATTTGGTGCAAATTGCTGCGTTGTTTGTTCGGAGGATTTTCAGTTTATGACTACTAGACTGTCGTTCTAGGGGCCGGATGGACCACGTGGTGAAATTGGAGCTCCTGGCCCTCAAGGACCTCCCGGGCCACAGGGGCCAAGTGGTCTTCTTCTTCTTCTTCTTCTTCTTCTTCTTCTTCTTCTTCTTCTTCTTCGATACTTTCAGAGGGTAGCCGTGCTGGTCTGCAGTAGACTAGCTGGATTTGAGTCCATTCACACCTAAGAGCCTAACACAATTTCCAAGGAAGAAGGCGTTCGAGAGGCAAAGCTCTGTTCATTAGATAAAAAGATCTTTGACTCTCAAAAGCTTATATCATGAAAATCTTGTTGGTCTCTAAAGTGTTACTGGTCTCGAATTTAGCTCTTTTCCCAAAAGAAATCTGTAGCAGATGGTTTTGTACATTTTGTCGAATGGAACACATTTCTGTAATGGGGAAAAGAGGAAATAAACCATGGAGAATGTAATGGGGAAAAGAGGAAATAAAGACATGGCTTCCTGTCCTGAAAAACAAAATAGGCTTTAGATCAGACAATAGCACTACAGATAAGATTAGAATTTCAACAACCTCCTCAGGAAGCAGGAAACCTCCTCAGGAAACAAAAGAACCTCCTCAGGAAAGCTCCTCCATTAGCATGTCCATAGCCTGGGGGAACTCCTACAAGACAATGACTCAGCCCTACCCCACCTTCTGGAGTAGATATAAATGACCTACCTACCATTTTCTTCTCAACTTGACACCTTCTCACCATCTTTCTGTGTTTATACCTCTGAGGATGCCAGTCACAGTTACTGGCGAAACATCAGGTTCTACAATGCCAAGACCACGGCCACACATCCCGGAAAATCTACAGCAACTAATAAACCATTTGTTTGCTTAACTCTGTGATCATTCATCCTCAGGGACCAATTGGTGAAAAGGGAGAAAAGGGAGAAGATGGTCGTCCTGGCATACAGGTAACCCCTGTGCTAATCAGTTACTTTTATAGAGGTCTTTAACTATCTGTGATCTAATACCTCTCCAGCACTTATTTAAAACATCTGAATCTATGCGTGTTTAGAAATACATTACCTGGTGTGCTAATGTTTTCGACACAGGGTGTCATGGGACCATCTGGACCTGCAGGACGAGATGGAAGCCAGGGCCCAAGGGTAAGGTGAAATGAACACAAGGCTGCCCTGTTGTCTGATAATAACTGGCTTGTTACTTTTGGGTCATCTATCATTTTTACTCATCTGTAGATCCACTCTGTGTTTTCTCAAATCAGGAATTCCCTGACCCGGTATTGTGCTTGTGGATCACAGTAGGTCTCTCCCGCCATTTTCTTGTCATGTCTTGTCCATCCAGTGTTGAACAGGGACCATTCCAGCATGATTTTGTTAGAGTTTTGGGAGGAGTAGTAGGACAAAAATGAAATTGAAAACATTCTTGCATGTGGCCGGCATTACGTCGACAGCAGGAGCAGCAGAGGTAACCAATCTGATGGCAAAAATTACAACCTGAATAACGTTTTCCTCTGGTTTTTATAATTTGCATCATTGAGCCTTGAGGGTGATTTAAAGACTTTTAAAAATGGTAAGCAGGCCAGTATAATATATACACAACTCATAATGTAATGAAACTAGAAGACAATGAAATAACATTATAATACATCCAATAATCAATGCAGTACAAAAAAAAAAGTGCTTAATTTTTTTCCACAGACGTTAAAACAACAGTCCTATTCACTTTATGGAAATTCCCCCCTGAATAATTCTGTTTTATTGCAACTCTGCTCCATTTATACAAATGTCCTTCTGAACATTTCCATTTTGTATGTTCTCTGGAGCAATGCAAGCTGGCCCCCCTCCGGCAGGCCATTCCACCAGGCAGGAACCGCAACACAGAAAGCTTAGGTAGGGGCAGCTGTTGACCGAACCCCTTTATAGTACGGCACCTTGAGGCAGCTTCAGAAATTGATGGTTCTTCACAAAGTTTCAGTTTAATTTTCCTTCTGTCTCTTTACCTTAATTATTTTTTCCAAATATACAAACAAATACAGGAGTAACTGAAGGGACATGGGGAACATCCACTGGCCGTTTTTTTGTCATCTGTCTACAAGTTTATTTCCCCCCCTCTTTTCTCTTTCTGTTGCTTTTTTAATCTCCAGATTATTCTGTCTCTCTCTCCTTTAATCTCATTTTAACTGTTTCTTTTAATGAGGAAGAAATAGCAACGTATTCCCTAAATCAACATGAGGAAACCAAATGGATCACTTTCATATTCTATAAAATATAGCCGAGGGTAGCTTAAATTGCACTTTAAAAGACTGATTTGAAACAGAGTCAAAAAATCTGTTTTCGGTTAATAAAACAAACTCTCTGAGGAGTCTGGCGCTTAGTATCCCCTAACAATGTGTATAACCATATCTAGTGACAGAATCAAATAACTCTATGTTCCAAAATCATATTAAAGCTATGTTCCTAAAGATCCATTTAAATCAGTAGGGCCTACTTCACAAACCATTTTAGAAAATTGGGCTGTCAAGCTGAGGTCTTAGGCACATTTATTTGGAAACCTTGTATTAGACAGATTCATGGAGGAAAGGTACTGTCATGTGGCAGGTCAGGTGGGCAAGCTAGAGCCATCCAGAACCACACAACAGAGTCCAAAATCCAGTCCCAAGAGTCAAGCCAGTCCCAAGAGTCAAGCCAGAGAGCCATTACCAGAGGGGTTGTCCAGAGAGTGTAGTCAGAAGGTCCAAGGGTCACACTCAAACAGGGGGTTCATACAAGGTTCAAGGTCACACAGGTGAGGTAGGTCCAAGAGCTGGGGTCACTGAGTCTAGCAGAGTGATTTGTTGCTTCCACAAACAAGCAGACTCCCTGAGCTGGTTTTATAGGCATCCGCTAATGAGCCTTGTTAGCAGCCAGCGGCTGAAACGTAACTCTGTACCTGCTCCAAGACATTATCAGCAAGCAGCTGGCAACGGGCCAGGAGCTGAGCACTTTGTCGTCTTTCTTGCAGCTCCCTTCTTAGCCATTGCCTTCAGCGCTCAAAGGGTGGAGGTGAGCTTGGTAGACTGCTAATGCTTAACTGAGGTTCACTTGCTGCATCAGAGCTGGCCACATGAAGCTCCTCTTCTCTTGAGGAGTCCACTTCTCTTGAGCAGTCTCTGCTTCTGAGCTCCAGCTGACCTCCTTCTTCCGAGGAGTCCCTGCTGCTGCTGAGCTCTGGCTGGCCCATGGCTGGTACATCACAAGCTACTAGCCTTGGATAACAAAGGGAACTTCCAGCCATATACAGAGGCAGCAAACTTTTGAATGCCAGTGCCAGGAGGCAGCATCGGGGAAGACCTTGACTTCTATACACTGTCTTAGGGTTGCCACCACCCCCAGGTCCCACCCTGACTGTTGATCAGCTGGCCGGTGGGGGGGGACTTACTAGCAGGGGAGACAGACGTAGGCCTCCATTGCCGGCAATGTGGCGATGTGACATCTGGCGTGTAGTGAAAGTGACACCATCATGCTGGCAATGTCATGGCATTGCTCTGGTACTTGGGCAAAAACTCTACGGTAGAAACCATTTTTACCATAGAGCTTTCGCCCAAATACCAGAGCGTCACCACGACATCACAATGTAGGGATGCCAGCCTCCAGGTGGGACCTGGGGATCCCCTGGAATTACAGCTCATCTCCAGACTACAGAGATCAATTCCCCTGGAGAAAATGGATCCTTTGGAGGGTGGACTCTGTGGCATTGTACCTCAGTGAGGTCCCTATCCTTCTCAGGCTCAGTCCCTAAATCTCCAGGAGTTTCCCAACCCAGATCTGGCAACTCTACCTCCCCCTAATCCCCTGCCAGTGGTCAGGAGGGACCTGGCAACCCTGGCAGAGGCTTTGAGAGCTGGACCGAATTTCACAGTCATAAGGAAGAAGAGATAAAAGATGGTGTGGGCTGGAGTCTTCACCCCACAGACTCAGAACAACTTCTAACTGGAAGGGCGGCTCACTTTTCTAATAAAGAAATACTGCTAAGACCAAGGGCCTCCCAGCCTTGTTGAGCCTGTGGGCAGTGTTGAGAACAGGCAGTGGTGGGTAGGGTTGCCAGGTCTGGGTTGGAAAATACCTGGAGACTTTGGGGGTGGTTCCAGGAGAGGGTGGGGTTTGGGGAGGGGAGGGGCCTCAGCAGGGTACAAGGCCATAGAGTCCACCCTTCAAGGCAGCCCCTTTCTCCAGGGGAGCTGATCCCTGTCAGCTGGAGATCAGTTGTAAAAGCCAGAGATCTACCAGGCCCCACCTGGAGGCTGGCAACCCTAGAGGTAAGACTACAAAATGGCTGCCATGGGAGGCGCAGCTGGATCCAATCATAGGATGGGAAGTTCCACAAAATTTTAAGAGGTTCCAATCTAGGGTCACCAGCATCCAGGTAGGGGGCTAGAGACTTCCCAAGATTAAAACAAGGCTTCTGAGCTCAGTTCTCCTGGAGAAAATGGCTGCTTTGGAGGGTAGACTCTATGGCATTATACCTGGGCGAGGTCTCTCCCTTCTCCTAACACTGCCCTGCCCAGGCTCCAACCCAAAGTCTCCAGGTATTTCCAAAGCAGGAATCACGATGTGATAACGTCAATTCCAGTACATGCCAGAAGTGGTGTCACCCCATTGCTGGCGCGACGTAGCCTGGACCTCCCTCCTGCTCCTGGTAGGTCCCCCCCTGCTGGTAGCCTGGAGGGACCTGGCAGGGCTCTTCTTAATGTTGTTAGAATTACGCCTGATCTCCAGAATACAGATGTTAGTTCCCCTGGAGGAAAAGGCACATTCTGAGGGCCAACCATGCAGCCTCACATCTCTGCCGAGCACCCTCATCTCCTCAGACTCTGCCCTTCCCAAGGCTGCACCACTGAATTGCCAGGAATTTCTGACCCCACCGTCGGCAACCCTAAATAGAGCCCATTTTTGGAGGAGATCCTTTCTCATAGAGATGAGGAGATCCTGCGTTGAAAGAAGTATGGGATCTCCTCAGTTCCGTCATGATGTTATGTTCATACTGAAGCCATGGAAGCTCGCTGGGTGACCTTGGGCTAGTCACTCTCTCTCAGCCCTACCCAACTCTCAGCTAGGGCTGCCAACCTCCAGGTGGGAGGACTGAAATGCTGCACTGAAGCGCTTGATAGCCAGGAGGCTACTAGTCGAAACAGATTTCCTAAAGCATTGGTTCTGACCAGGGCTTTTTTTTTTTTTAGAAAAAGCCCAGCAGGAACTCATTAGCATAATAGGCCACATCCAAGAGCAGAAACTCATTAGCATATTAGACCACACCCTGACAGCACAGCTCATTAACCTATTAGGCCACATCCTATGCCTTCCCTTGGCTTGCCTGGGCGCCCCACGGCTGTGGGGAGTCCGGGCAAGCCGGCCCTTGGACAGGTTGGGGAAGGCACGGGGAGGCATTTAAATGCCTCCCCAATCCTTCCAGGGCCCCCCTGGCCCACCCGCCTCGGAGTTGCCAGGTGGGGGTCGGTCTCCGCAGCTTTGAAAAAGAGGATAGAAACATGCTTCTATACCTAGGATACGTGTCGCCGCATAACTTCCAGTTGTTGACCTGTTATATAAATTTGTCATATTGAGAACTTTGGAACTTGTCGTGTTACATTGTAACCTTGATTTATAGCTCATGATGGTTGCATTTTTGAGAGTTTGGGAACTTTATGTGTTACATTGTAACTCTGGCTTGGAGCTTTTGACTTTGTATTAAATACTTTTGGAGTTGGTGTAAGAAAACTTTGATGACTGAGTATACATTAAGACTCTACACTCATTTGGTATTTCAAAATATTTATTTAAAGACATTGGTAGAAGACTTGTTAATTGCATTCGCAATGTTCATTTTTTTTTTTTTTTTACAATTGGCACACTGTGCTTTCCCCTTGTTTGGTCTAACTAACCTCCGGGTGGGGCCTGGAGATCTCCCACTATTTCAGCTGATCTCCAGATAATAGGGATAAGTTCTCCTGGAGGAAAATGGCTGCTTTGGAGGGTGGCCTCTATGGTATTGTATCTGCTGAAGTCCCTTCAGTTTGGTGTTGAGAGCCAGTTTGGTGTAGTGGTTAAGTGTGCGAACTCTAATCTGGGAGAGCCGGGTTTGATTCCCCACTCCTCCACTTGCAGCTTCT